TATTCTCCTCTTCAAACTGAATATTTAAAACCCAAACATGGTTATAAATATCCTACTATTATAGCAGAATAATCTAGTCCAGGTTTGAAGAGTCTAGGTGTTGTAGTTTTGGAATTAAAGCAGATCTTGTGTGATCAAGACCGAAAAAAAATGGCAAAAGTTGCCCTTTGTTGAAGTTTCACACATCCCAAACATGGTTATAAATATTCTACTATTGAGCAGAATAATCCAGTCCAGCTTTGAAGAGTCTAGGTGTTGTAGATTTGGAATTAGAGCAGTCCTCATGTGACCAAGTTAAAGAAATAGAAGTGAAATCACCCGTTCTTTAAATTTTACAAATCAGAAAAAGGTTTCACAAATCACAAACAGGTTTTAAATATTCTTCTATTAGAGCAGAATAATCCAGTCCAGGTTTGAAGAGTTGAGGTGTTCTAGTTTTTAAACTAGAGTCGATTAAAGATGCAGAAGGTAGTGAAAAATTAAGTGGAATCGCCCTTTTGCCACTTCCTGAATCGGAAGCTAGAATAGGAACCCAACTTCAGCTTTGTGATTGTGTTTCTCATTGATCTGTTTATGCTCAAATGTGGCGTTTTCGAAGCGCAGTGAATGCTGTTCTGTAGACACTTCTTTTGAAACATAATTTTAACATGTAACATGTAACTTTAAACATGTATGCTTCAAATGGAATTTATAGTAAAGTTTTGCAAACGGTTTGTCACACAGGTACCATTTTTCAACAGGCATTGATGCAGCCACCTACAATTTAGAAACATCTGTGGTGCGCATAGGTTTCAACCAGTTAATTTAGCCACCAGTTAATCCATAACACCGGAAAATCTACGTTCCAACAGGAAGTCCTCTTCCCGTGTTACCTGACAACTTGCCACACTTTTCAACAAGCATAAAGTAGAATACCATAGAATAGTCTTCGTTTGTTATATATACTTTTAAAAATACACACATGACATTAAAAAAACAAGCTGGTTGGTATGCGAGTCAAACTAATAACAATAGTATAACAACATTAGTTTCTATACAAAACACAAGCCCAGCTACCGCTCAGCGGTCCTGGAGAAGTAGTTTAAATGAACATACCTCGTCCTTTTTGCGATCACAAGTCATTTCTCTGCAGCTTAGTTGGTAAATCTGAGCTAACAAGGCGGGTTGCCTGCTTCAAAGAAACCTGGTTTCGCTTTCAGCTCCTTTTATTTCGCCTTACGTCTCCCCCTGCAGGTAATAATGGGAATAACAGAAACAATTCGACAAGTGAAAGACCTTTAGTATCTGTGTGGAGTTTACACTCTCAGTACCTGCTCTTAAAACGCAAAAGTAATGAACGGTATCTTCATTTCGAACCTATAATAATTATACTGTAATCATTTGACGAAAGACCATGTAAGTTATCAGACTTCAGGAATAGATTTTATATTTCTCACACCGTCTTACATTAAATCTGATTAAAGGTTTTTTTTGTTTTATGCCAGTTGAGGTTATTCAGATTATTTCTATTTGCTAAATGCTAAAGTAATAAAATAGATTCTGTTAATTTATTAATTTTCTTTCAATTTAAATTTAGAAGATAACATACACTCCATACCAACTTTTAAACTTTAACTGTGTGATGTCCTAAAATGTTGCCTAAGTATTTCAACATTAAGTTATTACTTCATGAAGCTATTCATTTTGTGAGGTGCATCAAAATGTAATGTTGGTCATGTGGACAAACATTTCATCAGACCATAAAGGATTTATCCTTAAATGAAGATCTTTGTCAATTCAGTTCAATTCAGTTTACATATATTTAATTATGTAAAAGATGTTTTCCTATCTGAATGGCCTTTCAACCCATGCAGCCTACTGACCTTTTTGACCAGTTTTCATTTTGACATAAAATATCTTACATTTTTTTTCAAAAATCTTTTTGTAGAAAAACCATGACTATTTTTGTGTTGTCACTGCTAAGGAGAGACAACTAGTTATTAGGTGGCAATTACTTTTCCCCAAAGGGCCAGGTTGGTTTGGCCAGATTCTTCTCCCTTAATTTCAATTAATAGAATCACTTGAATACAGGTTTTTGTTTTTATCCGATTATCTTTATCAGCTTCATAATCAGAAGTGTTCTGTTGTGACAATGCCCTGTTGCCCCAAAAAACAAAAGCAAAAAAAAAAAAACAAAACAAAAAAAACAGGGGAACTCCGTTGGGGCAAACACTCTTTTTTACAGATCTATATAACTATGTGGTTGTTCTTTTTGTTCTTTTCTTCTGTGACAGACCGGGCAACACACAATAAGACAATATAAAAAGATTAAATTGTTTTATTTTTTCAAGTATTATGTTAATTTATATTATTTTCATGATGAACATTACTGAAATCCTCCTCAATGGAAAAACCAGGGGATTACCTAACCATCAGATTCTGGTTTTAATTACAAAGCAGCTTTCTCCATATTTACACTGGGTTTTTTCTTTTTTTTTTTTTATCTGATGTATTTGTTGATGAGCTCCAAGTCTCTGAGGTTGGAAGGCCTCTTTGCCATCACTTTAGCACACTTCCTAAATTCAAATGAGTGTTTTGAAAAAGACAGTCAGAAACTTACAAAATTATGACCTCACCATGTTGGTGTTGGTGTATGCAAACCTCAGAATTTTCTGAAAATAGGAAAAGTATGGTCTGACTCTGAATAATGTCAGACAGTGAGGAAAAATGTCTTATCCATGTATTCACTGCAGTGTCATGGGTCGTCCAGCAGAGGTCACTAGAGCTCCATATGATGTGGGTGTTCTTTTCTTCTATGACATACTGTGCCAGGGGTCGGCAACCCAAAATGTTGAAGGAGCCATGTTGGACCAAAAAAAAAAAAAAAAAATGTCTGGAGCCGCAAAAAATTAAAAGCCTTATATAAGGCTTATAATGAAAGCAAAACAGGCTTTAAGTGTTTATATTACACTATTATCAAAATGACTAAGTGCGTACATATTTAGCATTCATGATTAAATGTTTATTTTCCCTGCAGTGGGTCCTGGACGGAATGACGCACCACGTGACTACTCGATTGCGGTGCTTCAAATTTACCTTCCGTTACAATATTAATGTATCATGTTTCATTGCATTGATGAAATTAAAGAAATGCAATAAAGAATTCAGATTTTTGATGTATTTTTTTATTATGAAGATCAGCAGGGAAAGGGTCGTTTTTTTTTCCTTTTGGAACTCGAAAAATCTGCCCCCAAATGCAGTTTGCATAACGATCGCTCTTTGTAAATTACTGTTCGATCACCGTTAACTGTGTGATCGAAAGAACGTGCGAAAAAACAACAAAACGGAACGTGCATAACGTGCCCCTTATCTGGGCAACAAACGAAATGCAATAAAACGCAATCTACAGTTGTAAAAGTAAAGCAATGCGCTTATAAATACATAGGCGTAAATCCCGGGGGTTCGGAGGGTCCGGACCCCCCCAATCTTGGAAAAGTCTAGAATTGTCCCCCCCAAATAAAATCTTTGAAGAAACGTTTGCATTTAAATAATATCAATATGAAAAGGCAAAAGAAACAAAGAACAAACTAAATCTGCCATTTATCTCAGAAAAGTTAGAATTAACTTTTAGGTCCCCCCTACCATTATTAGAACAATGGTTCAGTCCAAAGTGAAGGAAGAGCATCATCTGCGCTGAACAGCACAGGCTTATCAGAGCCACTGAAGTGAGGAGTTAGCTGTAGCTCTGCAGCACAAACATAAAACCTTCCAGTAAGTAAATACTTAAAAGACATGTAACACCTTTTATTTTCTTTCACTGCTCAATAAGAAGAAACACATCAACAATAAAGATCAGACTGCAGTTCGTTATTTTCTTACTTTGGCTGAATTATGATGAGCTGTCTCATTAGCAAAACTGCTACACTGCTTTCATAGACTTAAGCTTTTTTTTTTGTCAAAGGTAGCAAACATCTCATTCACATTTAACTCTTTAAGTTTTAGTTAATTAGAAGAGTTTGAAACGGGAGGGAGGGGCTGAGCAAGAGGACCATCTCGGACCATCTCAGAGTGTGGGAACCAAGAACAGATAGAAAAAAACAGAAAGTTATGCCTTTATTTCTCACCATCTTCAACATTAAAGCCTTTAAAACCACAAAATAAAATCTGAATATTTTTCTATATAAGCTCTGGAGCTTAAATGTTACGTTTAAGTTATAATATCCCCCAGAATATTCATTTCTATCTACCTGTTGGTTATCCATCACCCAAGACATGGCAAAATTAAAAAAAGGCTTAAAAATAAAGCAACTTAAGTTATAATTTACATAGGCCATAACTTGTATTGGGAGCTATTTCAATAAATCACTGCTTATGAGGAATTTTATTAAGAGCAGTTACACATTAAAGCTTTTTTATTTAGAACCTTAAAATTTTATAAAGGTGTAGTAGAGATTTGATCAGTGAGACTGAACAAAACTCATATAGAAGCAACATTTAAATTTTAGTTTTATTTCTCAACTTGCTTACTGAGAAAAACACTTTTGATGTGTATTACTAGACATTTTTGGTCCTGCAGCTTGAATGTGGTTTAAAAACTCTTTAAACCACATATTACGTTACATTTCACTGTAACTTTGCCGACACCCCCAAAATTGGTCTTAAGAAATGTTCCTGTTTATGGTCCCCCCCAATAATGAGATGGGATCTACACCCTTGTATACATGTACATTTCCATTTTTTTTTTTTTTCCCCAAAAAATTTTAGGTGCGGCTTAACAGTAAGGTGCGCTCTCTTTTTGTTATTTGACAACTTCTCGCTACAGAGCAAACATTCAGGTAATCCTTTCCGCAATGAATGTAAATGATTCAGAATCTCTCCTTGGCTATTTTCCTCTTTTCTGCTTTGCTATCCATGGCCCACCACACCCGTCAGTTTGTTTACAGCCACCTGCCTCGCACCCCGCCCAGCTGAAAGGAACGTACAGAGGCTATGACGCAAATCTTCGTTGACAGAAATTTTACAGACTTTTTAGGCTATATTAGCATAAGGTTAGATGTCCACCTGCCTGCAAAATTAAGGAACCCCATATAAAATAACCCATAGGCCTTACCTGTTCACGTTTATAATGTAGAAATATTTTCTTCTTTAGATGGTTCAGTCTAGTTAATTCGATGATATTTTCAGTGTTAGCTCCATTAGATTTTATAATCTCAATAGGCTACCTTAGACTGCAGTGCAGTAAGATGTCATAGTCCAGAGTTAAGCTATTGCTCTCCAGGTGATTTGGTGTTTTTTTTTTTTTTCCAACACTGACTGACTCTCACTGATCAGCCTGTCAAACTGGACTATCAGGATTCCAGCCACAAACCCATCCACCCCACCCGTCCTGCATGATCTGCTGGAAAGTGTCTGGGATCGAGGAGGAACATTTTGTCAGGGCTTTGACTGGCCTGCTGTGGGCTTGGATAGAAGTATGGCAAAAAGCACAAACAGGCTGTTTTGAAGGCTGTGGCCAGCATCGCATCGTCAGATCAAATTTGAGTTTGTTGATGGGTTTATTCATCTGAATGTGTGAATTATATCAGAAAATATGTCCTCAAATGTTAAATGATGGTATTATCAGGCCTACAGCTGGGTAAAACACACATCAAGTAAAATATTTTCAGTATTTCAGGCAGCATCCTGAGTACACTGAGCTCTCACAGCTTGAAAATATCACACAGTTTGGATTGAAGAGGTTTAGACATCTGTCAAATTCAGCCAATAGAATGTAGGCTACATTAGGAATATTGAAAAAATCCTGCTGAGGGATTAAGTCCAAATTCTAATCTGATCATAGAAGTTGGATGGCAGCAAAACAGCTCTTCCAAAAACTGCATAGGTAGTAGAAAAAGATCAATGTATGAGGAATTTGCAGTAGCAGAGAGAATCTTAGCTGAACATGCAGCAGGTCGGAGCCACATTGTTCCGTGTAAATGGTGTGAAATATTAGAGCTGTCTGTCAAACATGATCAACTGCGGTGAAAAGCCTCTCACTACCAGTCCAGAGCCCACTCTGCAAGCCTGTCCAGCTTTATGTGTTTTCCTGCCATTCATGCATTGGGAGAGGATTTATGGAATCAGCGTATGTGCTAATTTTTGAAGTAAAACAAAAACAAAAGGAAAAAAAAACATTAATGTCTAATAACCAGTTATTAGACATGCTACGTGTCAAGTTTTAGTTAGATTTTATTTACTAGTGTGGTGAAATATTTTTGTCCTGTACACACTTTTAATGTCACACTTAATTTTTCCTTTTTTTTTTCCCTCTTGTGCCAGTGAGTCATTTGTATATTTTATTCAGTTTTAAGACTCCCTCTGCTTTTTATGCCTGCCTATTTCTTGTAGCTCATGTATGCATTTCTCTTTGCATTTTGGACTCATTACATAAATGAGGGGGTTTTATTGAAAGTGGGTCATGGAGTCTTGATGTCTTTTTTTCTGGCTTGTTGCTTTATCGACATCAAATCTACCCACACCAGTGGAAGAGAGACACTGCATCTTTGGTAAATGAAGCTGATACAGAGGTAAGCAATTTAGTAAATAAATAAGAAAATCTGCTTATCTTGAAATCCTATGCATTTTTATGAACTCATCATGCAGAAATACTTAATTTTATTAAAGTTCTTCTGGAAACTTACCAAATTGCATAGCAAGGACTAAACTAGGAGCAAGGGAAGGAATGGGAATCAATATAATTTTTCACCCATCCCATAAACATATTATTTTTAATGCTAATTTAAAAATATGAGAAAACACATTGTACAATATTGCAACATTTCTATATTCTATATTATTTTTGACATACATTTTCCTTCAGTACACCAAAAATATGTCACTTGATTTATTGAAACTCCTGAAGTTGGATTTTTGTGTTTTGGTTGGTCAACCAAATATTAAGTCTGGGGGCCATGGAACATTTTTTAATGACAGAATGTTTTGTAAATCTATTTTAGTTTTCAAAGGAATCTATTATGCAAATATTGCTGTGATATGGTGGGGATCGAATGAAAGAGTCCATCAGTTTTGGAGATTTTTTTTATATATAACCCATACAGTTAATTTAAAATGATGGTATCACCTCTTACTCAATACTTTATGTTAATCAAGTCAACGTTAATTTTGTTTTTGGAGTTTTTCAGCAACTGTATTGCATTATCCCATACAGGCCTCTCACAATACTTTGGGTCCCTTTTTGTACAGGGAAAACCTTTATTTCCATATGGAAAAAAAAAAAAAACCTTAGCATTCCTGTGTGCCTAACTATCAGGCATGCAGAGGTAGGAGGGGGGCAGAGAGAGCTTGAGCCCCTGCCTCTTTAATCCTTGATGCACCTAGTGCCGTTTTTTTTTCTTTTTTTTTCCCCAATTTTTATTTTTTGTTTTATCTGTGTGTCAGGAGGCCTTCTTGTGCCCCTCAACAATAATATTTAGCTAATTATAATTTTGCATAATAAAATAGTTTGGCTGTGGCTGCTTTCGGTCTATTAACGACTGAGGATTCTCAGTTTCTCTGCCTCCATGTTATTAAGACCGGTGCCGATGGTCAAGAGGAGGGGGGCTGATCTGCGCCCTTTGACTCTAAATTATGGGCAAGAATATTTTTTTTAATATATACTTGTTTGTGTATAAAAACGTCATGCTGAAATTAGAAAAACCGTTATATTTATTTTTCGTAATTGTCCTCGCAATAGCGAGAAAAACCCTCCTCGCCCCTAAACACAGAAGTGGTTCATCTGCAGAGAAAACTATAACTTTAATTTTATCAGACTACCCAAGAGACTGTCTCTTGGACTAAATGCAGTCTGAGTCGGTCCCACCGACATATAAAGAATATCTGTTTTTATATTAGACATTACTAAAAGATACCGCGAGTTTCACCGTGATGCACTTCAAAGCTCCGGTACCGCCTGCTCGCTGTTCGCTCTCTGCTTCACTTTAACCTGACGTTACTACCAGGCGATTTGCATTGCTGCTGACGGGATCTGGGTTGGAGAGGAGCGGTTGTGAATAATACTGCAGAACCTCAACTGCTAAAGAAAGATTCGGTTCATAGTGTTACGCCCCTGTAAAAGGGAATAATGAAAACACGGACACGATGTTATTTCTTTCGTCTCCAGCAGTGGCAGCAGTGGTCCCCAAAGTATGGCCCGTGGGCCGGATCCGGCCCACCTCCCCATTTGGTCCCGCCTCCTGAACAATACCAGAGAGCATTTAGATTTTTTTTTTCATGTACCTTATTTTCCAGACTATAAACCGCTACTTTTTTCCTAAGCTTTGAACCATGCAGTTTATAGCCCGGTGCAGCTTACATTTGGATTTTTCTTCAACCACCAGGGGGCTCTTTAGCAGGAAGTGAATCATTGGAAGTCAAAATTGGAAATAAAAGAAGAAAGCGCCCATTAAAACGGAATTAGGTTTTAATAGGGAATTGAAATTTGAGAATGTTGTTGGTCAGTTAAATAGCATTGAATGTTGTCGTCTTCTGTCACCGTGTTGCCGCCAGCTCGCCACCAGGGGGTTCCCCCAGCTCTCTCCTGATGCTCCACCTTGCAGGTGTGTCAGCACACACATGCAGACAGTGGGGCAAAAAGTGGGTATGCAGCGCATGCAACGCATAGGGGTGCTGCACCAGAGGGGGCGTCAAAACCCTGTCTGGAGGGGGCGGCGCCCCGATGATGCCTTCGCATACACTTCACCGCACTCTTACGCTCCTTCACCCTTACGAACCTTCCTTTTGGGGGGGAGGTGGGGCGCCGATTTATGTTGTCGCATCCACCTGAATAATATGTAGTTGCGCCCCTGCCTGCAGATCATCCGTTAAGTTCCAGGACTATAGGAGGAGCCTCCAGCCAACACTTCCACGCCAGAGTGTTGACCCTTGTGGTAACTGAGAGCCATTGGAAAGCCTTGTGTTGTGACACGTTCTTGTTCTAACCTCACGTCTCCTCGTCTCAGGTTTGATCGAGCCCGGAAACCAGATCAAGTCCGGGATCAGTCAAGCCCGCTAGCAGGGATCCGGATCTCCTCTCCCTGGGTGTCCTGACGCAGCGAGCATCACCAAGTCAGCTTCCCTCTCCCTCTGCTTCCCCGAGCAGACATTCTTCGGACCCCGTAAGCCCAGTACGTTATTCCCCAAGCTCTGCCGGCCTCGTATACTCACCTCTCCGGATCTGTCTTTTCAGAGCCCAGCCCCGACGCTTCTGACCTGCCTGCTGTTTATGGTTTCTCCAACTCGTACCACATTATTTCGTTTGTAAATAAAACCCTTAATCTTCAGTCTTCCTGAGTGTTTTGATGCATGTAGGTTCGGAACATTCCTAAAACCATGACATTGAGGGGACAAAGAAGATTTTTCGTTTAAATAATACTGGGATCATTATGAGAATTTGAGATATATATGTTAGGATCCAGTAGATGGCAGTAGTGCAACAATAATGGATGCANGTTCCCGTTGAAATCTGAAGAAGAAGAAGAAGAAGAAGAAGAAGAAGAAGCGCCCATTTTCATTTAGCACATGCTAGTAGCAGACACGAAGGATCAGCACTTTTACTGTTACAGTTACCATTCGGAAACTACTGTAATCAGTTCAGTTAAATCCAAACTTGGCAACTTTTCTTTTTCAACCGTAATAAATATGACATTCAATTGACCTGTTATGACTCAAATTTTGAGTGTCCGCCCCCCTCTGCTGCTGCTGCTGCATCGTTGTGGAAAAACTGGAGCAGCAGAGATATCTGCGGCTTATATGTGTATGTATGTGTATGTTATATGTTTACTGTTTTTTTTTTAAACTGGGGTTGTGGCTTATTGCCTGGTGGGGCTTATAGTCTGGAAAATACGGTATTTATTTAATAAATAGTGTTATTTCATGGATTTTTTTCTGTGAAGAAGCCAGAGAGGGTTATTTGATTGTGCTTTCTGGAAAACAATAAATTTTTACATTTAGGCACTCCTGCAATCGTCACACTTTTTCTGTTACAAACTGACTCCGGCCCCCCACCAGAGAATGGAAAAGTTATGTGGTTCTCCCAGGAAAAAGTTTGGGGACCCCTGCTGTAGATGATTACTAATCATTAAGATGAGCAATGTTCTGTTCTATCCTGTCACATGTTCAAATTTTGACCCAGCAATGGTGAGAAAATCACAAGTTCTTTTAGGCTTTCTGCAGGCAGTGTACACAAAAGTCCTATTATCTCCAACTGTAATGCCTCTACCTCGGTTGACTCCATCTTCTTTTCCATAGCTGTTCAGTGTTCTGTTGTAGCAGTAATTTGTTTGCTAAACCTTGGTTGCAGCACTCCTGGCACCTTAGGTTCACCTCAGATTGCTTTTGCCGTTGGTAGTACAAACTCAGGCTGCCTACAAATCTGATATTTAATAATTATTTGTACAAACCACTGTCTCAAGCATTGTATGACCTTATTATCAAAACAGCTGTTTAATTGTTCTAAGTCTCAAAATAACTTCCAAGTTCAGTTTATTAAGTAAATCAGTAACATTTGATCAAGAGTACTCAGATTGAAAGAGAGAATGCAAATGATTCACTGGGATGTGCACGCCCCACTATTTGAGAAGTACTGTTCTACACAAATCTAGAAGGCTCTAGGAATCCTTTCCATGCACTCTGATCATCATTTGGAAAAGTCATATTTTAAGCTGGGTAATTTCAACAGCTTTATTTAATTTTTTGAAACAAATTTAGTTTCCTTATGGTGTGTTTGAGACTATTGTATTGCTTGGAATTCTACAATTGTTTTATCTTTGGATTTTATTAAGAATTCAATTTCTGAATAACTTCTTTCTTCAAATAGGAAGTGTATCAGAACCATATATCATGATGTATGATCACAGCATGATGTTCAAACCTGCCAACTTCACTTTTAGTTATGTGTTCAGTGACATTCAAAGAGTTCTGCTTTGGCCTCATTTGACCTGACTATGTATTGTATTTGTCCTAGTATTTCACTGGTTTGTCCAAATCTTTTGCAGCAAACTTGAAACAAGCTTAGCCTTGCATTTTCTTCAGCAGGTGAGTCTTGGGCAGTGAATGTAGATAGAGGCCATTGCCGCAGCGTACTTAACTTATGGTCTTTGTGGGAAAAGTGTACCTGCTGTTTCTTGGTTCTTCTAAAGCATAATGCAAGTGCTCGTTGGTTTAATGACAACTATTTTTAGCATTTATTTTATTTCTCTGTCAAAAAACCTCCTAGGACACTAGGACACTAGGTCCTAGGTTTTTTGACAGAGAAAATTTATGCTGAAATTTTGTTCTTACCAATGTTCTTTTCTCCATAATGAACTCCATAAACATTCAGCAGAACATTCAGAATTTTTGAAATGGAGCTGTAGTCTTTACCGTTGGTGTGCTTTTTAACCTTTGTGAAGATCTCCAATATTTTACTAAAGTGAAAACATTTTATTGACTATGTTGTTATTAAACCAGCTGATAACGATTTGAACATAGCAGCAGAAATAGTTTCGAAATACTGACAGACTTTAGCTAGTTTCAGTGTGTCATTCCAACTTCTTATTCAGAATTTAATATGTGGTCAATTTGCATTAATTTTTGTGTTTATGTAGATCTCTTGTGATTCTACATTTGGTGTGAGATTCATGTCCACTGTCCTATAGGAAATTCATGAACTAAGAAAAATGTGAGGTGAGCATATTTTAACCATTTTATTCTGGCTGACTGCTGATTCTGATTTAGTTTTTCTGTTTTAGGGTCACACTACAGAACAATTTTTCCTGATGCACTAAGCATGTCTGTCATTAACTTCCCCATCTGCATTCTGGTCATTTATTCTTCTGCTTCTTCAGTCTTTGGATTCCTTTTTTATTTTCTCATGCTGCCCTTTACATGTGTTTCTATCCCTCGGATTGTTGTTTTCTTACAATCAATATGGATTTTTTTAATTTTCATCATTTGCACACACACACACACACACACACACACACACACACAGTTATTGATATTGTTATTGGCAAAGGAAGTTCATTTTTGTTGCACTGCTAGATGAAATTCTGAATGAAGTCATTAGGTCTCCTGTTGGTGTATGCTGTATTATTTTCAAATCTGTACATTTTAGCTCAGGTTTATTCAGCTTTTGTCTATCATTTTGATTCTAAATAATCCTCACACTTCTTACCTTACAGTTTCCATCAACCTCAAGTGAAGGCATCTTAATAAACACTAAGCATCTGCCTGAGGAGACTTGAAGGCATCACTTAAAGGTGGCAAAATGACAATCTGACAGATGTCCTATTTAGTCTACCAGGCTTTATGCACTAATACACATGCATTTCGCGCAGACAGCAGATACAGTTACTAATGGACCTCTGTCAGGTGACTGCTTTAGCAAAGACCAAGGAGATAGTTACCATGGAAACAGGCATATATTAAACCCCCTAAACGAGCAGAAGGGTGCCTGTGTCCTTTATGCTCTAGCAGTTTCCCTTCTGAAAGGGACAACATTTATAACAGTCTAACAGAGGAAGTATGTTTTAAAATAACATTTGACGTTTTGGACTTGCCAAGTGTACAAAGACGCCAAGAAGACAAATGGAGACAACAGGCAGCAGAGACCTTGGGGAAGGCTTTAAACATACCTCAGTACCAAGGCATTTTTCATCTGCAGTAACTTAAGAGCCCTTTAAAATCTGCAACAGATAAAATCAGAAGATTTTAGAGCAGTGTAAATAACTCTCATTATCAGTTCATGGACACTGGCAAAAGGGCAAATAATGTGCTGTTTGAGAAAAAAAGGAAGATTGTTTACACAAAAGCTGTTAGAGACTGATGTTATTCATCAAGGAGCAAGATGGTCACCATGTGCTTCTCACCAATTCCTATGCATAAAACTCGTCTTCTAAGTTAAGTCTGTACCTCTGAGCAAATGAATAATAATAAAAATAGTTTTTTTTAAATAAAAATGACCAAGGCAACTGTTCATAAAAATACAAATACATATTAAAGACTGTTCAAGTCATATTCTGAGTATTTTCCACACAAATTAGGTGCCGCAGTTCAAATGGTTAGACATACTCTAGAGTTCAGTTTTACTGCTCCGTTTCAACAAAACTGACGCAGAAGCTGTGCTGAAGTATTAAAGGAACACACTTAGACATGCACACACTCATACTCACATACACGCACACACACACACACACACACACACACACACACACACACACACACAGTTGTATTTTCATATCTTGTGGGGATTTTACATTGACTTCCATTCATTTTCTACAGCCTAACACTTATCCTATGCCTAACCATAACCATCAGATACCCAACCTTAACAATAACCAAAAATTGATTTACACCTTAGCCCTAAACCTAACACCTAACCCAAAAACAGCATTTCCCCTCATGGGGACCAAGAAAATGTCCCCACAAGGAGCAGTGGTCCCCAGAAATCCACATTGTAACCGGAAATAGGTTCCTTCAATGATATAAGAACCTGGTTCACGTACATACACACACACACACACACACACTACATTATTTTAATTTTATATTCAATGCCAATCAGTCTACAGAAAATGTACTTTTTATAATGTATGCTATACAAATTTTTTACATTGCTATTTCAAATCAAGGAGGAATACTTGGAGCAGCGTTGACAGACTGGCATGACATCCAGCTACAGAGCTTATAAGCTGTTTCATCATCTTGTTTGTTACAGTGGATCTTTTTTTTTTTTGAACAAAGACTTTATTTTATTAGTTCTGCATTCAAATTCAATGATTAACACATTAAGTCACAAACATCAATTACCAGTGCAACCAAACAAATCAGTTGAACAATAACATCCAAACGATTCGGCGAGCTGAAGTTCCAAGGAGCTTTTTCCTCCACTGCTCAGTGGAATATAAAACAGGTTACAAATGGATTACAAACATGAAATATGAAATAAAGGGAAAATCTTCCTCAAGTAACTTTTGCCTGCATCTTAACAGAGACATATGTTAACTATACCTATAAAGTGTATACCTGTGTTTACATTTATCTTACTTGCTACAATGTTAATTGCAAATATGTCATCAAAAGGTTCCACCTTTTCTTAAATAAATCAGTGGACATGTTTAGCTTTGCTGTTATTTTCTCCATTGTATAAACGTTCACTAGTCTCTCTTTCCATTGATTTAAAGTAGGGGGTAAAGGTTTATCCCAACTTACTGTTATCATTTTTTTTGGCTACGAGTACAAGGATTCCAAACAAGTACCATTTTTCTTTACTTAAATTACTTGGGGGTACTCCCAGAACAAA